TGGACTTGCTCCTTAGTAGAAAAGGCTTTTCCACAGTGGCTACATTTGAAAGGCCTCTCCCCAGTGTGAACTCGATAATGTGCCTTCAGTTGGGACATTTTACTGAACAATTTCCAACAGTCTCGGCATTTGTAAGGCTTCTCCCCCGTGTGATTTAGATAATGCACCTTCAGTTCACATGGAAAATTAAACGACTTTCCACACTCTCGGCATTTGTAAGGCTTCTCCCCGGTGTGGCTGTGGTAATGCACCTTCAGCTGGGACGGATAATTAAATGACTTCCCACAGTCACTGCATCTGTGAGGCTTCTCCCCAGGATGAAGTTTCCCATGCCTGTCCAGTATTGATTTCTGATTGAAGGCCTTCCCGCACTCAGAGCACACGTAAGGTTTCTCTCCTGTGTGAATTCGATGGTGCACCTTGAGTTTGGCTGTTTTACTGAATGATTTCCCACACTCCTGGCATTCATAAGGCTTCTCGCCTGTGTGGATTTGACAGTGCACCTTCAGTTGGGATGGAAACTTGAAAGACTTTTCACACTCACAACATTTGTAAGGCTTTTCTCCAGTGTGGCTTTGTTGATGGGATGTCAACTCTGACTTCTCCAAGAAGGCCTTCCCACATTTATCACAGACAAAAGGCATCTCCTTCCTGTGAAGCAGCTCATGTTCACAGAAAACTGACCTGCTGCCGAAAGCTTTCCCACACTGACTGCACACATAGGGCTTCTCTTCTGTGTGAATTTGCTCATGCTCTTGGAGCGCGGCCTCAGTACGAAAGATTTTCCCACAGCCGCTGCATTTGTAAGGGTTCTCCCCAGCCTGAATTAGCTCTCCCTCCTTCAGGGGAAATGGGTAACGCAGTGACTCTGACATGTGGAGGAAGGCCTTCCCATCCTTGTATGAGACAAACGGGCTCTCCGCAGTTGGAGTGATCCTGGGTTTGTGCGAAGAGGACACGGCATAGAGTACCTTCCCACACTTAGTACCCTGATCTGCTTTCTCCTGAGAATAACCGTCGTGCTGTGTCAGTAGGTACTTATGGCTGAGACCGTCTCCACGCCCAGGCCTTGTGCAGGCTTCCTCTCCTCCATGAGTAATCATAAAGTTGGCCTTACAAGAACCCTGTGTGACGAGCTGACCAGACACCACAATGTAAAGAAGCTGCTTTGTGACACTGCTTTCCTTCTGAGCATTTGCTTCTAGGTTCAGATTCAAACTTGTTGGAAGCGAGTAACATCTTAGAAGTCCCCCTTGTGTGGAGATGAGGTGGGGTGCCAAAACAATGGTTTCCCCAGGCTTCTGACATGCACGGCCACTGTCTGTGCACAGTGTTTTCTTGTCGAGGACAGCACCTGGACTCGAGGGTGGGGTCCGGTTTGGCTGATCTCTCTTTGTAGAGTCAGTATTCTTCCACAGTTCTTGCAGAAGGGAACACCATGAACCATCTCTGGTGACTTCACTTGCTGAATAATCACTTTGAACCAAAGCTTTCTCAGAAAGTTTCTGTGATGGGGAGTCAAGCCCACATGTTTCTGGGAAGAGACGTGAAGGAACAGACACCATGAACAAGATCTAGGAGAATCACAGATCGGTGATTCAGAGTTTCTGGAACTTATATAAATAAAAATAACTACAAGCCTGCATCAAAATTGATCAAAAAGAAGCAAAATAGCCAGGCATGGTGGCGCACGCCTTTAGTCGCAGCACTTGGGAGGCAGAGGCAGG